GCAAGAAAAATGTTTCGAAATTTGATCGAATTATTTATGCGTACTTAGTAAGACGAATATCATTATTTTTTTCTCATTCGAATAACTGATATCAGCATACACAACTTTGTATTTCTTTATCGTTCTTTCAGAAACCAATGAAATTTCTTAGCAGATCTCTTTTACATAATGCCAGTACGACAATATCCATAACTGTTCTAAAATTCTAATGATATTTCTGAATCTCGTACCTTTTTTTATACGATTCTGCTTTGAATTAGAATAAAGATACTATCACCACAATCTACTGTATCGTGCAACAAATAAACAATGTCTTACAACCTTTTCAAAAAACAGATCTTCTTGGGTTGAAAATAGACGTCAGATTTAGTATATACTTACTGAAATATTTGAATAAACAAATCGTACGATGGATAGAGTATGTGCATATAACGATTATAGGTGCAATAGTTCTATCTACAGTAGGGTAGCCTATAGGCTGAAATTACATCAGGAATCGTTATAAATTCTGTTCTAGATAAATAGCTGAAACCATAAATCTCTATTGAAAAGTATAATAATATTTTGTTTTACTTGCATTATCGATTGACGTCTTCTTCCAGATTTTCTAACATCAACTTCAAATTGTACGAAAGAAAATAAATAAATAGAGAAAAAAACAATAGAATTATCATATGATTTGGACAGATAGAAAAATGAGGAGAGCGTCTTTCTTTGCAGTTCTGTATTTTGTTGTTGACCTTTTAGTCATTTTTTTAAAATATATGTTAGATCTATTTTAGTGTCGTTAGTATAGAAATTCTAAAGATATTCTCCATATTGAAAATTTAAAAAAAAATGCGATATTAGTAAGAAGGACATAAACATCATCGTTCAATAGAAAATGATTTTTTCCACACATAAAAATCTAGCATAACATCTTAACTTTTTTCTTTTCATATTTGAACATTTTAGTGTACTTCAGAGATGTCTATCAGAGTCGAAAACGAACAAGAAAAACAATGTCGAATATGTTTGGATACGGATAATTCTAATGATATCATAAGTCCATGTTTATGTAGTGGTAATTCAGCTTATGTTCACAGAAAATGTTTAAATCATTGGCGAGCAGAAAATAAACATGGAAAAGGTTTTAAGTATTGTGACAAATGTCAATTTGAATTCGTTATTGAAGCTGTTCAAACCGACACAAAAAGTGAAAGAGAAAGACTTTTGAAATATTATTTTTTTGTTATTCGGGATTCAACGGCAATAGTTTTGTTAATTCAATTGATTCTTTTTGGTTTAGCCTTTTTATTGAAGTTTATTAACAAAGATGGCGAGACAAATAAACACTTATTTTCAAGCTCATTGCGTGAATTTATAATGTATTATATCAGTGCTTTGTTTCTATTATTGGTTCTTATAGGTTTTGTTAGTTTCATTATCTCGTCCTTTGCTAGCAATAGTAATAGTGATTTTGGATCGACTTTTCATGGTTGTTGCATTAACGATGGAAATGAATCTTCATTCGTGATTATTGTTATGTTACTAATATGTGCTGTGATTGGTTTGTTCGTAGGAGTGGTTCTAGGTGTAATCCTTTTGAAGAAAATAATGAAACACCACGCAAGTAAATTATGGTTACGACAAGAGGCACAAAAGTATATCGTGAAAGATTTTCAAAATCGAAGACATGAATTAGAAAAATATAAACAAAAACCTGAACATGTCCAAATTAATATGAATAACTAATCTAATAAAATAATGTGTTTTCTTTGGGTGTAATTTCATAGTGAACCTTCCTGAGATTATATCAATACAGTAGATGAACAATCGTGAGGGTGTGGATGTGGGTGTGGGGTGTGTGGGTGTGGGTGTGGGTGTTCAGTAAGAGACACTAGCACCCACACCCATACCCCACACACACTCTCAACGCAAAATGATTCTTTGTCATAACTCTGGCATTTTGTAGCAGATTAACCAAAACTCTTCATTGTTGCGTGGTGTTTAGAGTAGAGATCATTTTAAACTACTATATATTTACAGAACTTATTGGATGTTTACAGAAAGCAGACTTGCCTACAGAAAAATAAGATTTTTTGTTTATACTGCAGGAAATTCTTTTTGAGTCCTGTCAAGATTTCCTTATAACTCAATATAGTCAAAAGTCACAGAAAATTTCATAGCATATATTCTGAAAGAACACAAAATTCTCATTCTAATACATAACCAATGCATTTGAATATACGAAAAATAGTCAAGTATATCCTCTAGAAACTTTCGGTACACTTCTTAATTAAAAAGAACTAATAATAATAATTTTTCTCTTTAAATAGCGTTTCCGTCAACAACAAATGCAAAACGGTCGTTTTGCTCCAATGCAAAAATCATTTGTTGGTACACAAAAAAAATCTAAAACAATGAAAAACTTAGAAATGTAACTATATAAAATATAAATTTTATTTGTTTAAATTTATATCTAATAAATAGGGATCAAATGCATAAAAAGCAAAAACAATATGGAAATCGAGCTGATCCACGTCAACATGTAAGAAAGAAAAACAAAACAAAAATACAAAAAAGAAATATTTATCTTTATTTTAAAGCAACAAGCTAAACAACGTGTACGAGAAGATTAGCAAGTTATTGAAGAAATTCCATTTACTAGTTTAGCTAAATTTGGTTTACCAACTGTTGGTGAACCTGAAAAATTGTAAATTAATATAATTCATATAAAGAAATATTTATCTTATTAATTTATATAGGAGTGTTTAGGGTTCACTTGAATATTATGATAAACGATATGATCGTATAACAACAAAAACTGAAAAGAAATTAACTATGGTTAATCGTTTAATACATAAAATTACAACTACAAAAGATCCAGTTATTCGACAGGTTCGAAAAAAAAACA